TTTTTTTGGCAAAGTTCTTGCTCATACATGAACATGCCAGATCCATAGAATCAATGCGAGTTTGACGATGCAAGAGTGTATGCTTATGCATAGTATACTTTGGCATGCGTAATATTCGAAATTGACAAATAACGAGCTGATTTTTTCTTTTCCAGTTGAACAAGCTCAGATTCTGCGAATTCCGATTAGTTTGAAAGTTCTGCTCGTGAATGTTCAACTCTGTAATCAATTTAAGACTTGCTTCACACTATAGGATGGTGCATCTCTGTTTGGTAGTAGCTGTACTAAACTTTATTGACAGCATATATGTGAACTTTTTTCAATTTAGACCGCCTTAGTACTGCGTACATCTTGTTCACAGCATGAACAGAGGAAAAAGTTGCAAAATCAGAGGTGCGATCATCGTACGATCTTTGTATATACCACTGACCAAACTGATCATATCATACGCATCAAGTTCATTCCATTCTGCCTAACTCGTGCTCACACACGCTTGGTTTTCTCTATCATTACTTGTCAGTTACGACTTTTTTCGTGGAGTTTTCTCCAAATCTCGGAATTGGCTCATCTTTGGATGTTTTTCGATCTTTCTACTATATGCTAGCTTTGCTTGGAGCGATATCATGAGGATAATGAGTTCTCAAGACCTGTATATACTACATCTTAGTTTGCTCGTGATCTCATAGGAAAGCGGAAGAATGAGGGACATGCGAAGCATGACGAGCAAAATCTTGGGTTTGAGGTGAGGTAAATGTAGTGATTCATTACCTTTCGCGATTTTCAGCTAATTTTGTCTAGATCTCCTCAAGCACAAATTTCCCAGTTGCAGCCGGATTAGCGTCTTCTGCCGCGGGGTTCGCTGCGATCGCGATTGGCATTGGCCGTTTATTCAATCTTTCAATCACAGAAGTTTCTACTCTTGCGAGACTAGGTGCAGCGGTTAACTCGTTTTTCGAAACGTCTACCTAACATAAGCAGCATATTTTCAGGGTCTGGAAGTGCGTGCCGCAGTGTTTCCGGTGGATTGGTGGAGTGGTGCGCTGGTTCTGACCCATCAGGGTGCGACTGCATCACCAAAGTGAATACTTTGTGAAATTTCATCCTCTAACCACACTGAATTGTTTTAGCAAGTTTTTCCTGAAACATGGTGGCCCGAACTACGCGCTGTTATCTTGATACTTGACGATGCTGAAAAAGAAGTTGGTAGCAGCATTGGAATGCGTAGAACAGTGGAAACAAGCGAGTTATTGAAGTACCGCGCAGAAAGTGTTGTACCGGATCGAATCAGAAGGTATTCTATCATCTATCCTATTTTCTACATGCGTCCTATACATCATTTTCAGGCTGACAGCAGCATTCAAAACCCGAAACTTCGAGGAATTTGCTCGTATCACGATGGCAGATAGCAACCAGTTACATGCAGTTTGCCTGGACTCTTTTCCACCACTTCGAGTGAGTTATTTCCTCAGCAGCGCAGTCCCAGTGTCATGTGGGTTCTGTCTGAGCAGGTGAATAGTGGTAGTAAAACCTTGTTGGCCATCAACTTAATCTGAAAAAAGTTAAAACGGCTTAAATTCGCTTCGGTAGCATTCCGAACTCTCCCCCTCCCTCAAGATCTGTCTTTCACCACACATCTGTAGAAGAATGTGATATCTGCGATCAGCTTGCCATTCTGTTTTTTGTCAGAATTTGCAGATCGGTCGTTTTTTCATCAGCAAAGAAGTATTATGAGATAGAGTTTTGTTATCGGGCGTATAGACCGACTCATTTTTCACCATTAATTGGGGGG